TTAGAGTCCAACGGAGCTCACCTGCCTACTGCACACTCCGACTTTAGCTAGCTTTTGCAGCGCAGAGCAGTGGCAGCACTGGCCAAAGCTAACGATAGCTTGCTAACTACCAACTATCCAGCTAAACTAGCAAGCTAGTCAGTCCTTTAGATTATCTTCCTCTTACGCGTTCGTTGGTCTGCCCGAAATATGCTTGTGTCCCAACCGTTATTCTAGTGTCCAAAAAGGAGAAATCTAAAATCTACGGTTGATCAAATCTGTGTTATTTCCTACGATGCTTCCGGCTCGGTGTTGCGCTGTCAACTGACAGCTCAATGGAGGGAGGTGACAGCGTTCATCTATACCTCCCTCAGTCAGTGGGTGGCAGATCAGCGTCTCATTAGCAACACTAAAAAATTGCTTCCGGGTCGCGGAAGTTCGGGAATTTCCCTCAAATCCCCTACGTAATAGTAGAAAAGTATAATTAACCTGTATTTATTCATGATATATAAATGCCAAATAAATGCCCCCAATGCAATACACGGTATATTAAATACATATTAGCTTATAGAGAGAAAACTCTTCTAGGTGCCGAAGTAAAAGTGGGGCTGGGATTATTCTGCGTTCAAAACAACTGGGAACTCGATTTGAACGTTCATCCAACTCGGAATTCCAACTCGGGAATCCGGCCTCTTTCTAGAGCTCCGACTTTCCGACCTGAAGATCACTGACGTCATGATTTTACCAAATACTTTTCAGAGTTACGAGATGTTTTGACGCATTACTCACTAGGGTCTGTAGAATCTATAGTGTCCTCCGTAATTATTGGGACAGTGACATTTTTGTTGTTGTTTTGGCTCTGTAATCCAGCATTTTGGATTTGAAATGATACAATGACTATGAGGTTAAAGTGCAGACTGTCAGCTTTAATTTGAGGGAATTTTTTGAATATATGTACATTAAACAGGATAACAGTACTACAAGAACCAGAGCATTGCCTAACCTAAGTACAGGGGGTCCCTAATGTAAACTGATCTCTTTCCTCCATTGGAAAAGACTGTCCCACTTTAGCTACTCCATGCTGTCCTACTTTAGCTATGGTTGGTAAATCGGGACAACTACAAAAATGACTGAATTACAAAATGTAAACATAATATTGGCAACTTTTTTATTTATTTTGATGCACCAGTACATAGTATGCACATTTACATCACAATTTGGCACAGTGCATTATTTATGACAGTTTTATAACCTTAACATCAAAACAGAAAAAAGCTATGTTTCTGATCTTACTGTGTGCTTCGCGGGGTGAGCTTCCTGTTTGAACCTTGCTTTGCCCCCGTCTATGATGTCACACCGATGAAGTGATGTGATTTTGATCATGTGGTTTCTCTGCAAGGGTTTAGTTTTGATTTTCACTTGTCAGACCAAGAAATAAATGTGTCAGGATTAAGCAGTCCCAGTTTGTATGATGTCCCACTTTTTATGAATTCACCCAATGTAATTTATAGGCCTACAGTGTGTTGCATTTGGGACCAATGGAATGGGTGGAGTAGAAAGTGTTGCTGGGTATTTAAACCTGAGTCCCTCATGAAATAACACCATATATAGATTCTACAGACCCTACTGAGTAATCCCAACCCCACTTTTACATCAGCACATATAATAATTTTTTCTCTAAAAGCCTATATGTAATTTATAGGCCTACAGTGTGTTGCATTTGGTACCAATGGAATGGGTGGAGTAGAAAGTGCTGCTGGGTATTTAGACCACAGTCCCCCAAGAAATAACACCATATATAGACTCTAGTGCTAAATCAGTATGTTCTTTACATTCAATTACTTTAGCTCCAACCATTTCTCAATGTGCTCCACCTTATATTATTTATCTTATATAAAGTATTAATCATCTTTAGTTTTCCCCCCGATGTAGTTATAATTGTGTAACATAATTGTAACATGATGCACTACGCAAAGCTGCAAAAATGATTGATTTCGTATCATACACATAGCGCAGACTTTTATTTTGAAGGCAAAATCTGAAAACCGGAAGTCTTAATGCTGCTGCTGGAACACTAATACTGCTGCCATGACTTTAATGGGTGACGGCCAGAACGATGTTCCCTCGTGCAGACAGATTGGACAATGGAAGCGTTCCAGGTCGCCTAAATTGGCAGACACGTTGCGCAGATGACCAAATTGTTAAATCAGCATTTATATAGATTTTAGAGCTATCAGATCTCTACAAATACGGAAGTAGTGTTAATTATTAATAGAACCCCAGAAATATGACATACCGATACGATCATATGCGTAATGTAGGCGGCCTGGAACGCTACTATTGTGTTCCGGTTTGCCCTCTAATATATACACTGTAATCCAACCTCCCCCAAGTATGGGGTCTCTCTAATAACGCTATACTAACCAAGTATGGGGGCTCTCTTCTATGTCTCTTTAGTCATCTTCTCTCGTGTCTCTCTAGTATCAATCTCTTATCTTCTCATGTCTACTTCTCTGATCTAATTTTCTCTCTCTCTATCTCTTTATCTCTTCTCTATCCTTCTCTCCTCTCTTATCTTCTCTCTCTCTGCTGTAATTTAATTATTATAATAGAACCCCAGAATATGGACATACCGATACGATCATATGCGTAATGTGGCGGCCCATGGAACGCTACTATTGTGTTCCGGTTTGCCCTCTAATATATACACTGTAATCCAACCTCCCCCAAGTATGGGGTCTCTCTCTCTCTCTCTCTCTCTCTCTCTCTCTTCTCTCTCTCTCTCTTCTCTCTCTCTCTCTCTCTCGGTCTCTCTCTGCTGTAATTTCCTTCTCTCAAATACTGTATTGATACAGAATGTGACATAACCTCATAAATGCTGGTGCCTTTTGTATTTTAAAGGAATATTATCCGCTATGTGTGTGTGTGTCTATGTACTGTATGCATGTCCTTTTGCAACCCCTAACAATACATTAGTTAAAAGCCATACAATATCTGCACACCCCCATCCCCTAACCTTGAATGCTTTATTTGAGATTAATCTGTATCACTCAGGGCAGGCAGGCCACTGACAGTGTCCCGCATGGCCACAGTTGCTGTAATGCTTTTAGAGGTCGTTTGGGTGTTTTGGTGCAGAGCAGTGCAGAGTGTGCTGTTTCCAGCAGTGGTGCGGTGCTGTGCTGTGTCAGGGCGTGGTGGTGGTGGAGGAAACCCTGTTCTGTCCGCTCTGTCTGTTCTGTCTGATCTGTCCATTCTGTCTGCTCTACCCATTCTGTCTGCTCTACCCGTTCTGTCTGCTCTACCTGTTCTGTCCACTCTGTCTGTTCTGTCTGCTGATATGGAGCTAATTTGGTTTATGACTCACCCTCCTCTTGCCAGTAGCCTCTGCTGCTGTGGGAGACAGGCAGGCCGACTCTTAAAAGGCACAGCCACAACAATGCTTAATAGAATAGAATAGTGGGTGTGGGTGGGTGACATCAGAGAAGCAGCAGTACAGCACACACATAACAACACAATTACACACATGCATATTGCCCTATATAAATAAGGTAAACCAATAAGCCCTAACCAAACAGTTAGTAAAATGTTCAGGTTGTTCTTTTAATGCAAACTCTTTCCAAAATCCAGTTTCTTCAACTGCTGTGTGAAATGTAAATGGATCCTTCTGTTGCCAAGGCATGCAAAGCTATTGCTGAGGTCTTTGGAAAGTGATCAGAACAACCAGTTGATAGAAAGCCACAGTCTGTGATTTCCAGTAATTAACTGAGGAAATATACCTTGATTTTGTACAATTGTCATCATCAACCAAATAAAGGACCTACCTACTTAATTGTTTATGTTGCATGAGGCAGTCATTCCCTGAGCACCACTTCAAGTGCTACATGCATGTTAAAATGTCATGGGATGCACTCCATTGTTTATGTTTTTGTTGATGGTCCAATCTTTATTATGCACAACATGTTAAAGAGTGTGGCACAATCTAAACCAACAAAGGCTTTCCATCATTTCTGGTAAATCTAGTGGTGTAAACTAAGTAAAAATAATTAGAAGTGAGTATTTTTTTGGGGTATCTGTACTTCACTTTACTATTTCTATTTTTTACAACTTTTACTTCACTACATTCCTAAAGAAAATAACGTAATTTATACTCCATACATTTGCCCTGGCACCCAAAAGTACTCGTTACATTTCGAATGCTTAGCAGGACAAGAAAAGAGTACAATTCACACACTTATCAAGAGAACATCCCTGGTCATCTATTACCTCTGATCTGGTGGACTCACTAAACACAAATGCTTCGTTTGTAAATGATGTCTGAGTGTTTGTGTTCCCCTGGCTATCTGTAAATTAAAAAATAAAAAAATAAAATGGTGCCGTCTGGTTTGCTTAATATAAGGAATTTAAAAGTATTCATACTTTTACATTTACTTTTGATACTTAAGTATATTTTTGCGATTACATTTACTTTTGATAGTTAAGTATATTTAAAAGCAAATACTTTCCGAGTTTTACTTAAGTAGTATTTTACTGGGTGATTTTCACTTTTACTTGAGTAATTTTCTATTAAGGTATCTTTACTTTTACGCAAGTATAATAATTGGGTACTTTTTCCACCACTGGGTAAATCACCCGACTTCTGGCTTCTGGTTTCGACCACTAAAACCTCGTGGCATTGGTCGCCAAGCAACGAAATGTCAACCTCAGTTTTCAAACAAACATTGCTAACGGCAGTTAGCTAAAAAGCTAGCTGAAAACCTGTAGGCTAGCTAGGTACTGACCGCCCGCAGACTTCAACAACAGGTAACAAAAGGTTAATTATTCAAATGGTTATCAGGAAGATCATCATACATTACCTAAAGCCACCTCGTTTGGACGTCCAGTGTAATTATCACGCTCTCTTGCAACGTTACCTGTTCTGTGTAAACCAGTGCTTGCCAAAGTTGACACCCACTTAGTCATCGACAGCATGTAATAATGGGTAAATAAGATTGCAAAAAAAAAAGGTGCTTTATTGTTTCAGGATGGGGAAGAAAGTGAAAAAAGAGAGTGAGCCTCCATCTAAGGATGTGGTAAGAAGATTAAGATAATTTAGCTGTTGTGATGAGGTCAATTTAATGAGAAGTCAAACTCTCTGCCTCTCTCTTTTGTGTCTCTTTCTCTAGTTTGACCCCCTGCCGATTGAGAGTAAGAAGGCAGCCACTGTGGTCCTCATGCTCAATTCCCCTGAAGAGGAGGTTTTGGCTAAAGCTTGCGAAGCCATCCACAAATTTGCAGAGAAAGGTATGTTTTACCATTGATGGTCATGTTCGTGAGAGAACCAACATCATAGCCATATGGTATAATTTATTCCTAAAGTAATCACATTATCTGAAATAACTTGACTGTGGAAAGGCATATTATTATTATTATTATTATATGTAATGAAGGTGATATGTTAATTTCACCCTGGACCAAAGCTTAGGAGCAGCTTACCTACTGAGCATAAAGCCATCTCTCTCTCTCTCTCTCTCTCTCTCTCTCTCTCTCTCTCAATTCAATTCAATTCAATTCAATTCAATTCAATAGACTTCATTGACATGGCAAGTTAAATTACTTACATTGTCAAAGTATACATATAACAAAACTGGTGGGACCAACAGCAATAATAATAGTAGTAGTGGAAATGGGATCACCATTAACAGCAACTACAACAACAATATTAATGAGAATAACAATACATTAAAGCAATAGTAGTCGACCAGTCTCAACATGACTGAGAAGACACATTACATGGTATGAAAGCCAAAACAAAACAGGAAATATTATTGACATTACATTACACTTTTCACTGGCTGTCCCTCAGGTTGTGGCAGGAGGACACATACAGTTGAAGTCGGAAGTTTACATACACTTAGGTTGGAGTCATTAAAACTCATTTTTCAACCACTCCACACATTTCTTGTTAACAAACTATAGTTTTGGCAAGTCGGTTAGGACATCTACTTTGTGCATGAAACAAGTAACTTTTTCCAACAATTGTTTACAGACAGATTATTTCACTTATAATTCACTGTATCACAATTCCAGTGGGTTCAGAAGTTTACATACACTAAGTTGATTGTTTTGGGTGACTTGTTTGTCAGTTAGAGTGTGGAGGGTGTAAATGTGGTCTGTTGTACGATAATAAAAAAAAATTCATCCAAACTGGCTTCTGCTTAGGATGTTGTGTTCATCAAGGAAATGATGTAGTCTGCTGTTTATGATACTGCAGAGAATTTTCCCCAAGTTGCTGTTAACGCAAATTCCTCTGTAATTATTTGGGTCAAATTTGTCTCAATTTTTATAGATTGGTGTGATCAATCCTTGGTTCCAAATGTCGGGGAAAATACTTGCAGTTAGGATAATGTTGAAGAGTTTGAGTATAGCCAATTTGAATTGGTGGTCTGTATATTTGATCATTTCATTAAAAAAACCATCAGCACCACATGCCTTTTTGGGTTGGAGAGTGCAAAGTTTTTCCAATAATTCTTGTTCTGTAATTGGGGTATCCACAGGATTCTGATAGTCTTTGACTGCTGATTCAAGGATTTGTAATTTTTCTTCTATATCTTGTTGTTCTGGGTTCTTTGTTATATTGCTGTAGAGGTTTGCAAAGTGATTTCTCCACATATCCCCATTTTAGATAGCCAATTCCTCATTATGAGGTTTGTTTAATTTATTCAAATTCTCACAGAAATTGTTTGATTCTATTGATTCCTCAATTACATCCAGCTGATTTCTAATGTGCTGTTCCTTTTTTGTTCTCTCTCTCTCTCTCTCTCTCTCTCCCTGTCTCCCCCTGGTGACAGGTGATGAGAACAGGAGTTCTCTGCTGGGGCTGGGGGCGGTGGAGCCTCTGTCTCACCTCATCTCCCACGAAGACAAGCTGGTCCGCCGCAACGCCTTCATGGCCCTGGGGGTCATGGCTGCCAACAGTAAGGACCCCTGCCCTAACTACTGCTGTAGGAGTAGTAACACAACGCACAATGCAAAATCAGTTGTTTAGGGTCGGTCTGGAGTCTGTTCACAGTCTGTTCACTTGTGACTGAAGACAAGATTGTAGCCATAAACTTTGGGTAACCTCTGTTTCTGCTCTGTTTGAAAGGTGATGTAAAAAGACTTCTGAAGAAACTGAATGTCATTCCTTCTGTCATCGGAAAGCTGTCACCTGAAGGTATTCTCTGGCTGGGCGTGGCTCGCATCTTCTCAAGTATCAGTCATATGTTAAATCATTGTGACATTTCATTGTATCTGCCTGTCTGTCTATATCTGTGTGTACCTGTGTGTTTGTTTATATGTGTGTACTTCTGTGCCAGAGGATGTTGTGGTCCATGAGTTTGCCACCCTGTGCCTGGCCTCCCTGTCGGTGGACTTCAGCTGTAAGGTCCAGATCTCGGACCAGGAAGGACTAGAGCCACTTATACAGCTTCTGTCCAGCCCTGACCCTGATGTCAAGAAGAACTCTGTGGAGTCTATCTACAACCTGGTGCAGGTGTGTGTGTGTGACCGACGGGGCTTGAACCCAAGCCTCCTGCTCGCCACAAGACTGTGTTAGCCTGCTGAGCTAAAGCCCCATGTTACATGTGTGTAGGACCTCCCCAGCCGCGTGGCTGTGCGTGAGCTAAATGGCGTCCCCCCGCTCCTGGAGCTGTTGAGATCTGAGTTCCCGGTCATCCAGCAGCTATCCCTGAGGACGCTGGTGATCATAACCACAGATACCGACACACGAGCCACCTTCAGGGAGGAGCAGGGCTTTGACAGGCTGCTGGAGTTCCTCTGCAACAAGGTCTGTGTGGCTCAGACCCACCTGGGTCAAATATATTGATCACATACTTGGAAGTACCTGTAAAGTATTTGAGGTGCTCTTGATCAAGCTTGCAAGCTTGCACTTTTGGGACAATTCTATTGAATTCATTCTACCAGGTAAACAAAATGAAGCGTATCTCGAGTGTGAAGGAATTTGACTCCTGCCTTCTGTTTGTGTCCTGTAGGAGTTCAGTGATCTGCATGTAGAAGCCCTCCAGCTGGTATCTAACTGTCTGGAGGACAGAGACAGTCTCCAGCTGATCCAAGAGACTGGAGGTCTCCAGAGGTTACTGCAGTTCATCACCACTCCCACCCTGCCGGACATACAGACACACGCTGTCAAGGCCATCTACAGGGTGGCTCAGAGCTGTAAGGGCTAAGTGTATGTTGTGTCTGTGTGTGAGTGTGTGTGTGTGTGTGTTTGAATGCTTAAGTGTGTGAGTGTGTGTGTTCCCCCATTCCCTGCCCCCCTCCCGCCCCCAAATCATCGGCTTTCTCTCTCTCTCTCTTACTCCCCCCACCCCCTCTCTCTTTCTGTCTCTCTGTCCTTCAGCGGAGAACCGCAAGCTGCTCCATGAGCAGGACATAGAGCGGTCGCTGGTGGAGCTGCTGTCTCTAGAGGATGACAGTGTGAGGACTGCTACCTGTCAGGCTATCGCTGCCATGAGTCTACACCTGGCCAGCAAAGACTCTTTCAGAGCCCTGGGTGAGACACACACACACAGGCGTGTGCAAACACACACTGACACACACCCGGGCCCTAACCCTAAACTTTCCTTGTGTTCCAGACGGTATCCGTGCGGTGGTGCAGCTGCTGGGGGGTGAGGGGGGTGAGGTGAGAGAGGCTGCAGCCCAGGCACTGTCCAGCCTTACCAACAGCAACCAGCTCAATGCATAGTGAGTTTCACACACACCTAATGTACTGTATTGCCTTCTCTCTCTCTACATCTCTCTCTCTACCTCTCTACCTCTCTTACCTCTCTACATCTCTCTCTACGCTCTACTCTCTCTACTCTCTACCTTCCTACCATCTCGCTCTAACTCTCTCTCAGCTCTCTCTCTCTCTACTCTCCTCTCTCTATCTCTACTCTCTCGCTCTCTCTCTCTCATCTCTCTTCTCTCTTTCTTACTCTCCTCTCTCTCTCTCTACTCCTCTCTACCTCTCTACTCTCTTCTCCACCTCTCTACCGCCCTCTCTCGCTCTACGCTTCTCTCTACCTCTCTACCTCTCTCTCTACCATCTCTAACCTCTCTCGCTCTACCGCCTACGCTCTCTCTCTACTCTCTACCTCTCTACTGCTCTCCTCTACTGCTCTCGTCTCTCTATCTGCCTCTCTCTGCTGCCCTCTCTCTGCTCTTCTCATCTACCCCACGCCCCCTCTCGCTACGCTTACCGCTCTCTCTCTACCTCTCTCCGCCTCTCTCTCTACCTCTTTCTCTCTACCGCTCTACCTCTCTCTTTCTATCTCTCTACCTCTCTCTCTCTATCTCTCTCTCTACCTCTCTACCTCTCTCTCTACCTCTCTCTCTCTCTCTCTTTCTCTCTACCTCTCTCTCTCTACCTCTCTCTCTCTATACCTCTCTCTCTCTACCTCTCTACCTCTCTCTCTCTACCTCTCTCTCTCTCTACCTCTCTTCCGCTCTACCTCTATGTCACTCCCTCAGTGTTATGTACACTTTGTGTGTGTGTGCGTGCGTCCATTCATGCGTGCGTGTCTGTGTGTGTGTCAGTGCTGTCTATGAGGCTGAGGGAGATGAGGGCATGGTTCAGCAGCTCCGTGACGTTATTCCCGGTGCGGTGGCTCACGCTGCAGCCGTCCTCACCAATATGGCCGAACAGGAAGTCCTCCGCTGCAGCATCCTGTCCCACGGGGCCATGGCTGCCCTCCTGGAGCCGCTGCAGTCTGCGGACACACATACCCTGGTTCGAGCCACGCAGGCCGTCGCCGCTCTCGCCTGCGATGCTGAGGGACGGGCAGACGTGAGTGTGTCTTTGTCCGAAGTGCTGGTCTTTCAGACCTGGATCAAATATTTGTCAAATTCTTGAGCTGCACATACACTACCAGTCAAAAGTTTGGACACACCTACTCATTCCAGGGTTTTTCTTTATTTAGGTTATTTTTTACATTGTAGAATAATAGTGAAGACATCAAAACTATGAAATAACACATATGGAATCATGTAGTAACCAAAAAAGTGTTAAACAAATAAAAATATAGTTTATATTTGAGATTATTCAAATAGTCACCCTTAGCCTTGATGACAGTTTAGCAAACTTTTTTATTTTTATTTTTTTAAATTTTTTTTAGGTGAATGGATCAGCTTAATATTGCAGATATATTGTATCTTCTATCAATGTAATTGTCTGCATCACTTCCAATCCCCCATGTTTATTTTTATTTTTTATATATATATTCCCCTTTATTACTTTTCAACCCCACCATCCTTTCCCTACTTGGAGTAAATTAGTGAACAACAATGCCCAGGCGTCTACTTCCGGTCTATACTTACTATCTACACCTTATGGACAGAGTTCATTTTACAATAATTCTATTATATATATATATATATATTTTTTTTTTTGCTCCTGAACTTCTTCTACTCTCAACCTCTCCGATCATTTTCATGGTGTCCATCTGGTTTGCCATATCTTTCTAACTGTGCTCCTTCCCAAAAGCTCCCAACATACAACCTATATACTTATTATGGACACAGTATGCTTACATTATTAGCTATCTTTGTTATTATTTGTTGTTATTTGTTATTAGTCCCATCCTTCAACTCTATTCAATACCTCCCATCTATCTCTTAACACCATCCATATAGGATTTCTATTTGCCATATATATTTCGACCGTACTGTGATGTTTTACAAAAATTCTGAACCTTTCTATTTGCACACGCTTTGCACACTCTTGGCATTCTCTCAACCAACTTCATGAGGTAGACACCAGGAATGCATTTCAATTAACAGGTGTGCCTTCTTAAAAGTTAATTTGTGGAATTTATTTCCTCAATACGGAACATTTCAAGAACTTTGAAAGTTTCTTCAAGTGCAGCCGCAAAAACCATCAAGAACTATGATGAAACTGGCTCTCATGAGGACTGCCACAGGAATGGAAGACCCAGAGTTACCTCTGCTGCAGAGGATAAGTTCATTAGCGTTACCAGCCTCAAATTGCAGCCCATATAAATGTTTCACAGAGTTCAAGTAACAGACACTCAACATCAACTGTTCAGAGGGGACTGTGTGAATCAGGCCTTCGTGGTCGAATTGCTGCAAAGAAACCACTACTAAAGGACATCAATAAGAAGAAGAGACTTGCTTGGGCCAAGAAACATGAGCTGTGGACATTAGACCGGTGGAAATGTGTCCTTTGGTCTGGAGTCCAAATTTGAGATTATTGGTTCCAACCACTGTGTCTTTGTGAGACGCGGTGTGGGTGAACGGATGATCTCTGCATGTGTAGTTCCCTCTGTAAAGCATGGAGGAGGAGGTGTTATGGTGTGGGAGTGCTTTGCTGGTGACACTGTCTGTGATTTATTTAGAATTCAAGGCACACTTAACCAGCATGGCTACCACAGCATTCTGCAGCGATACACCATCCCATCTGGTTTGGGCTTAGTGGGACTATCATTTGTTTTTTCAACAGGACAATGACCCAATACACCTCCAGGCTGTGTAAGGGCTATTTTACCAAGAAGGAGAGTGATGGAGTTCTGCATCAGATGACCTGGCCTCCACAATCCCCCGACCTCAACCCAATTGAGATGGTTTGGGATGAGTCGGACGGCAGAGTGAAGGAAAAGCAGCCAACAAGTGCTCTGCATATGTGGAAACTCCTGCAAGGCTGTTGGAAAAGCATTCCAGGTGAAGTTGAGAGAATACCAAGAGTGTGCAAAGCTATCATCAAAGCAAAGGGTGGCTATTTGAAGAATCTCAAATATAAAATATATTTTGATTTGTTTAACACTTTTTTGGTTTTACAACATAATTCCATATGTGTTATTTCATAGTTTTGATGTCTTCACTATTATTCTACAATGTAGAAAATAGTAAAAATAAAGAAAAACCCTTGAATGAGTAGGTTTGTCCAAACTTTTGACTTCTACTGTAGTTTGCCTGGTACAGTGGAACCAATGGAATAGTCCCAAAAGTGCAAACTCCAACTCCTTCCTCTCATTCCATCTCTTCCTGTTGTTTAGCTGAGGAATGCGGGAGGCCTTGTCCCATTGGTCCAACTGCTACGGTCCAATCACAAGGAGGTTCGCCGCAATGCATGCTGGGCCATCAGTGTGTGTGCCAACGATGAGCCCACTGCCGTGGAGATGTGCAAGCTGGGGTGAGTGTGTGTGTGTATGTGAATACCACAGATTGCATAATGAAATGCTGTTGTGATTATAATCTCTAGAGATTATAGACACACACACACAAACACACATACAGTGAGGGAAAAAAGTATTTGATCCCCTGCTGATTTTGTACGTTTGCCCACTTACAAAGAAATGATCAGTCTATAATTTTAATGGTAGGTTTATTTGAACAGTGAGAGACAGAATAACAACAAAAAAATCCAGAAAAACGCATGTCAAAAATGTTATAAATTGATTTGCATTTTAATGAGGGAAATAAGTATTTGACCCCCTCTCAAACAGAAACATTTCTGTTTCCCAGGTGTCTTTTTTACAGGTAACGAGCTGAGATTAGGAGCACACTCTTAAAGGGAGTGCTCCTAATCTCAGTTTGTTACCTGTATAAAAGACACCTGTCCACAGAAGCAATCAATCAATCAGATTCCAAACTCTCCACTATGGCCAAGACCAAAGAGCTCTCCAAGGATGTCAGGGACAAGATTGTAGACCTACACAAGGCTGGAATGGGCTACAAGACCATCGCCAAGGAGCTTGGTGAGAAGGTGACAACAGTTGGTGCAATTATTCACAAATGGAAGAAACACAAAATAACTGTCAATCTCCCTCGGCCTGGGGCTCCATGCAAGAGCTCACCTCGTGGAGTTGCAATGATCATGAGAACGGTGAGGAATCAGCCCAGAACTACACGGGAGGATCTTGTCAATGATCTCAAGGCAGCTGGGACCATAGTCACCAAGAAAACAATTGGTAACACACTACGCCGTGAAGGACTGAAATCCTGCAGCGCCCGCAAGGTCCCCCTGCTCAAGAAAGCACATATACAGGCCCGTCTGAAGTTTGCCAATGAACATCTGAATGATTCAGAGGAGAACTGGGTGAAAGTGTTGTGGTCAGATGAGACCAAAATCGAGCTCTTTGGCATTAACTCAACTCGCCGTGTTTGGAGGAGGAGGAATGCTGCCTATGACCCCAAGAATACCATCCCCACCGTCAAACATGGAGGTGGAAACATTATGCTTTGGGGGTGTTTTTCTGCTAAGGGGACAGGACAACTTCACCGCATCAAAGGGACGATGGACGGCGCCATGTACCGTCAAATCTTGGGTGAGAACCTCCTTCCCTCAGCCAGGGCATTGAAAGTGGGTCGTGGATGGGTATTCCAGCATGACAATGACCCAAAACACACGGCCAAGGCAACAAAGGAGTGGCTCAAGAAGAAGCACATTACGGTCCTGGAGTGGCCTAGCCAGTCTCCAGACCTTAATCCCATAGAAAATCTGTGGAGGGAGCTGAAGGTTCAAGTTGCCAAACGTCAGGCTCTAAACCTTAATGACTTGGAGAAGATCTGCAAAGAGGAGTGGGACAAAATCCCTCCTGAGATGTGTGCAAACCTGGTGGCCAACTACAAGAAACGTCTGACCTCTGAGATTGCCAACAAGGGTTTTGCCACCAAGTACTAAGTCATGTTTTGCAGAGGGTGTCACGGATTCAGCCGAGGCTGCTCCTCCTCCTTGCTCGGGCAGGCTACCGGAGTACTAGCTGCTACCGATCTATGTTTCTGTGTTCTACTTGTCTTGTCTTTATTGTTCACACCTGGTTCCCATTAGGTATTGATTACTTCCCTATTTAACCCTCTGGCTCCCACTGTATGTTGTGCGTGTTTGTTCATGTTTGGTTGTCGTCTGGTGAGCGGGTTTGTTTCCTCCCTGTGTGGAGGTTATGTTAATTATGTTACCTACGAGTAAAGTACGTTTTCGATTAACTCTATGTCCTGCGCCTGAGTTCGTCTTACCGCATCACACTGACAAAAAATACTTATTTCCCTCATAAAAATGCAAATCAATTTATAACATTTTTGACATGCGTTTTTCAGGATTTTTTTGTTGTTATTCTGTCTCTCACTGTTCAAATAAACCTACCATTAAAATTATAGACTGATCATGTCTTTGTCAGTGGGCAAACGTACAAAATCAGCAGGGGATAAAATACTTTTTTCCCTCACTGTAGTAGTATTTTAGTGGTGATCCATGGGAGAGATTTACTAAGGAGCCAGCAGATGGCAGTATTGCTCTGTTCAATTTAGTGTCAGCTGTGAAGGTGTGTGTTTATTTGTGTGTGTTGTGTTGTGTATGACAATGTGTGTTTGTCTGTGTGTGTTTATCTGTGTGTGTGTCAGGGCCTTGGACTTGTTGCAGGAGATCAACAGCTCAGATAACCGTAGGAATAAGTTTAGTGAGATTGCTCTAAAGAGACTGCTGGACTCCAACCTGTCTCTCAAATACAGCCTGACCAACACACTGGCTTCCACAGACATCACTATGGACGGCTTCTACGACCCTGGACAGGTAGGGTTGAGGGTGTGTGTGTTACATCCTTCTCAGCACTTACGCTTGCCTCCTGCTAGTCTCTCTCTCTCTCTCTCTCTCTGTCTCTCTCTGTCTCTCTGTCTCTGTCTCTCTCTCTCTCTCTCTCTGTCTCTCTCTCTCTCTCTGTCTCTCTCTCTCTCTCTCTCTCTCTCTCTCTCTCTCTCTCTCTCTCTCTGTCTCTCTCTCTGTCTCTGTCAGGCTCGTTCGGGCCAGAGGGTGTTGACTCTAGAGGATCTGTCTAAACAGCCAGTCAACCAGCGACGGCCTGTCATTGCTATTAACGCAAAACCCCCCGACACGTGAGTATGATTATCGTTCACACCAACCCAACGACATACATACATATATATATATATATATATATATATATATATATATATATATATATACAGTTGAAGTCGGAAGTTTACCTTAACCTTAGCCAAATACATTTAAACTCAGTTTATCACAATTCCAGACATATAATCCTAGTAAAAATTCCCTGTTTTAGGTCAGTTAGGATCACCACTTTATTTTAAGAATGTGAAATGTCAGAATAATAGTAGAGAGAATTATTTCTTTCAGCTTTTATTTCTTTCATCACATTCCCAGTGGGTCAGAAGTTTACATACACTCAATTATTATTTGGTAGCATTGCCTTTAAATTGTTTAACTTGGGTCAAACGTTTCGGGTAGCCTTCCACAAGCTTCCCACAATAAGTTGGGTGAATTTTGGGCCATTCCTCTTGACAGAGCTGGTGTAACTGAGTCAGGTTTGTAGGCCTCCTTGCTCGCACACGCTTTTTCAGTTCTGCCCACAAATGTTCTATAGGACTGAGGTCAGGGCTTTGTGATGACCACTCCAATACCTTGACTTTGTTGTCCTTAAGCCATTTTGCCACAACTTTGGAAGTATGCTTGGGGTCATTGTCCATTTGGAAGACCCATTTGCGACCAAGCTTTAACTTCCTGACTGATGTCTTGAGATGTTGCTTCAATATATCCACATAATTTTCCTTCCTCATGATGCCATCTATTTTGTGAAGTGCACCAGTCCCTCCTGCAGCAAAGCACCCCCACAGCATGATGCTGCCACCCCCGTGCTTCACGGTTGGGATGGTGTTCTTCGGCTTGCAAGTGACCCCATTTTTCCTCCAAACATAACGATGGTCATTATGGCCAAACAGTTCTATTTTTGTTTCATCAGACCAGAGGACATTTCTCCAAAAAGTACGATATTTGTCCCCATGTGCAGTTGCAAACCCTAGTCTGGCTTTTTTATGGCGGTTTTGGAGCAGTAGCTTCTTCCTTGCTGAGCGGCCTTTCAGGTTATGTCGATATAGGACTCGTTTTACTGTGGATTTTCCTCCAGCATCTTTACAAGGTCCTTTGCTGTTGTTCTGGGATTGATTTGCACCTTTCGCACCAAAGTACGTTCATCTCTAGGAGACAGAACGCGTCTCCATCCTGAGCGGTATGACGGCTGCGTGGTCCCATGGTGTTTATATTTGCGTACTATTGTTTGTACAGATGAACGTGGTACCTTCAGGCGTTTGGAAATTGCTCCCAAGGATGAACCAGACTTGTGGAGGTCCACAATTTGTTTTCGGAGGTCTTGGCTGATTTCTTATGATTTTCCCATGATGTCAAGCAAAGAGGCACTGAGTTTGAAGGTAGGCCTTGAAATACATCCACAGGTACACCTCCAATTGACTCAAATGATGTCAATTAACCTATCAGAAGCTTCTAAAGTCATGACATACTTTTCTGAAATGTTCCAAGCTGTTTAAAGGCACAGTCAAGTTAGTGTATGTAAACTTCTGACCCACTGGAATTGTGATACTGTGAAATAATCTGTCTGTAAACAATTGTTGGAAAAATTACTTGTGTCATGCTCAAAGTAGATGTCCTAACTGACTTGCCAAAACTATAGTTTGTTAACAAGAAATTTGTGGAGTGGTTGAAAAATTAGTTTTAATGTCTCCAACCTAAGTGTATGTAAACTTCCGACTTCAACTGTATACAGTGGGGGAAAAAAGTATTTAGTCAGCTACCAATTGTGCAAGTTCTCCCACTTAAAAAGATGAGAGAGGCCTGTAATTTTCATCATAGGTACACGTCAACTATGACAGACAAATTGAGAATTTTTTCCAGAAAATCACATTGTAGGATTTTTTATGAATTTATTTGCAAATTATGGTGGAAAATAAGTATTTGGTCACCTACAAACAAGCAAGATTTCTGGCTCTCACAGACCTGTAACTTCTTCTTTAAGAGGCTCCTCTGTCCTCCACTCGTTACCTGTATTAATGGCACCTGTTTGAACTTGTTATCAGTATAAAAGACACCTGTCCACAACCTCAAACAGTCACACTCCAAACTCCACTATGGCCAAGACCAAAGAGCTGTCAAAGGACACCAGAAACAAAATTGTAGACCTGCACCAGGCTGGGAAGACTGAATCTGCAATAGGTAAGCAGCTTGGTTTGAAGAAATCAACTGTGGGAGCAATTATTAGGAAATGGAAGACATACAAGACCACTGATAATCTCCCTCGATCTGGGGCTCCACGCAAGATCTCACCCCGTGGGGTCAAAATGATCACAAGAACGGTGAGCAAAAATCCCAGAACCACACGTGGGGACCTAGTGAATGACCTGCAGAGAGCTGGGACCAAAGTAACAAAGCCTACCATCAGTAACACACTACGCCGCCAGGGACTCAAATCCTGCAGTGCCAGACGTGTCCCCCTGCTTAAGCCAGTACATGTCCAGGCCCGTCTGAAGTTTGCTAGAGTGCATTTGGATTATCCAGAAGAGGATTGGGAGAATGTCATATGGTCAGATGAAACCAAAATAGAACTTTTTGGTAAAAACTCAACTCGTCGTGTTTGGAGGACAAAGAATGCTGAGTTGCATCCAAAGAACACCATACCTACTGTGAAGCATGGGGGTGGAAACATCATGCTTTGGGGCTGTTTTTCTGCAAAGGGACCAGGACGACTGATCCGTGTAAAGGAAAGAATGAATGGGGCCATGTATCGTCAGATTTTGAGTGAAAACCTCCTTCCATCAGCAAGGGCATTGAAGATGAAATGTGGCTGGGTCTTTCAGCATGACAATGATCCCAAACACACCGCCCGGGCAACGAAGGAGTGGCTTCGTAAGAAGCATTTCAAGGTCCTGGAGTGGCCTAGCCAGTCTCCATATCTCAACCCCATAGAAAATCTTTGGAGGGAGTTGAAAGTCTGTGTTGCCCAGCGACAGCCCCGAAACATCACTGCTCTAGAGGAGATCTGCATGGAGGAATGGGCCAAAATACCAGCAACAGTGTGTGAAGACTTACAGAAAACATTTGACCTGTGTCATTGCCAACAAAGGGTATATAACAAAGTATTGAGAAACTTGTTATTGACCAAATACTTATTTTCCACCATAATTTGCAAATAAATTCATTAAAAATCCTACAATGTGATTTTTTTTCCTCATTTTGTCTCTCATAGTTGACGTGTACCTATGATGAAAATTACAGGCCTCTCTCATCTTTTTAAGTGGGAGAACTTGCACAATTGGTGGCTGACTAAATACTTTTTTCCCCCACTGTATATAGTACCAGTCAAAAGGTTGGACACACCTACTCATTCAAGGGTTTTTCTTTATTTTTACTATTTTCTACATTGTAGAATAATAGTGAAGACATTAAAACCATGAAATAACACAAATGGAATCATGTAGTAACCAAAAAAACGTTGAAAGTTTCTTTAAGTGCAGTCGTAAAAACCATCAAGCGCTATGATGAAACTGGCTCTCATGAGGACCGCCACAGGAATGGAAGACCCAGAGTTACCTCTGCTGCAGAGGATAAGTTCATTAGAGTTACCAGCCTCAGAAATTGCAGCCCAAATAAAAGCTTCACAGAGCTTCACAGACACAACTCAACATCAACTGTTCAGAGGGGACTGTGTGAATCAGGCCTTCATGGTCGAATTGCTGCAAAGAAAACCACTATTAAAGGACACCAATAATAAGAAGAGACCTGCTTGGGCCAAGAAACACGAGCAATGGACATTAGACCGGTGGAAATGTGTCCTTTGGTCTGGAGTCCAAATTTGAAATTTTTGGTTCCAACTGCCGTGTCTTTGTGAGACGCTGTGTGGGTGAACGGATGATCTCCGCATGTGTAGTTCCCACTGTAAAGCATGGAGGAGGAGGTGTTATGGTGTGGGGGTGCTTTGCTGGTGACACTGTCTGTGATTTATTTAGAATTCAAGGCACACTTCACCAGCATGGCTACCACAGCATTCTGCAGCGATACGCCATCCCATCTGGTTTGGGCTTAGTGGGACTATCATTTGTTTTTCATCAGGACAATGACCCAACACACATCCAGGCTGTGTAAGGGCTATTTTACCAAGAAGGAGAGTGATGGAGTGCTGTAGCAGATGACCTGGCCTCCACAATCCCCCGACCTCATCCCAATTGAAATGGTTTGGAATGAGTCGGACAGCAGAGTGAAGGAAAAGCAGCCAACAAGTGCTCAGCATATGTGAGAACTCCTTCAAGAATGTTGGAAAAGCATTCCAGGTGAAGCTGGTTGAGAGAATGTCAAGAGTGTGCAAAGCTGTCATCAATGCAAAGGGTGACTATTTGAAGAATCTCAAATATAAAATATATTTTGATTTGTTTAACACTTCTTTGTTTCATAGTTTTGATGTCTTCACTATTATTCTACAATGTAAAAAATAGTAAAAATAATGAAAAGCCCTTGAATGAGTAGGTGTGTCCAAACTTTTGACTGGTACTGTATATATATGAATTAACCTTGGTGTCTGGCTCCTGGGTTTAGAGATTGTAGCTTCTAGATTCCCCCTTCTTTTTCTGGGCCTCTCTCTGCCCAGGGCTGTGTTCCAAAACTCTTCAAACTCTGTCCTCTCATTTCCCTTTGCGTTGTTGACAATCCCCTCTGTGTGTCTGGTCTGTGAGCACTGACTCTGGAAGCCATGTGCTCTCTCCTCCACTATGCCCCCTCAGTGATAGAGTAGTGATAGCGTAGTGTGTAGTGATAGTGTAGTGATAGTGTAGTGATATTGTAGTGATAGTGTAGTGATAGTGTAGTGTGTAGTGATAGTGTAGTGATAGTGTAGTGGTAGTGATAGTGTAGTGATAGTGTAGTGGTAGTGATAGTGTAGTGATAGGGTAGTGATATTGTAGTGATAGAGTAGTGATAGAGTAGTGATATTGTAGTGATAGTGTAGTGGTAGTGATAGGGTAGTGATAGGGTAGTGATAGAGTAGTGTGTAGTGGTAGTGATAGAGTAGTGATAGTGTAGTGTGTAGTGATAGAGTAGTGGTAGTGTGTAGTGATAGAGTAGTGTGTAGTGATAGGGTATTGGTAGGGTAGTGTGTAGTGATGTGGTAGTGTGTAGTGATAGAGTAGTGTGTAGTGATAGAGTAGTGATAGAGTAGTGTGTAGTGATAGAGTAGTGTGTAGTGATAGAGTAGTGATAGAGTAGTGTGTAGTGATAGGGTAGTGTGTAGTGGTAGTGTGTAGTGATAGAGTAGTGTGTAGTGGTAGTGTGTAGTGATAGGGTAGTGTGTAGTGATGGAGTAGTGTGTAGTGATAGAGTAGTGTGTAGTGATAGAGTAGTGTGTAGTGATAGAGTAGTGTGTAGTGATAGAGTAGTGTGTAGTGATAAGAGTAGTGATAGAGTAGTGTGTAGTGATAGAGTAGTGATAGAGTAGTGTGTAGTGATACAGTAGTGTGTAGTGATAGAGTAGTGTGTAGTGATAGAGTAGTGATAGAGTAGTGTGTAGTGATAGAGTAGTGTGTAGTGATAGAGTAGTGTGTAGTGATAGAGTAGTGATAGAGTAGTGTGTAGTGATAGAGTAGTGTGTAGTGATAGAGTAGTGTGTAGTGATAGAGTAGTGTGTAGTGATAGAGTAGTGTGTAGTGATAGAGTAGTGTGTAGTGATAAGAGTATTAGTAGTGATAAGAGTAGTGTGTAGTGATAGAGTAGTGATAGAGTAGTGGTAGTGATAGAGTAGTGTGTAGTGATAAAAGTATTAGTAGTGATAAGAGTAGTGATAGAGTAGTGTGTAGTGATAGAGTAGTGTGTAGTGATAGAGTAGTGTGTAGTGATAGAGTAGTGTGTAGTGATAGAGTAGTGTGTAGTGATAGAGTAGTGGTAGTGATAGAGTAGTGTGTAGTGATAGAGTAGTGATAGAGTAGTGTGTAGTGATAGAGTAGTGATAGAGTAGTGTGTAGTGATAGAGTAGTGATAGAGTAGTGTGTAGTGATAGAGTAGTGTGTAGTGATAGAGTAGTGGTAGTGATAGAGTAGTGATAGAGTAGTGTGTAGTGATAGAGTAGTGTGTAGTGATAGAGTAGTGATAGAGTAGTGTGTAGTGATAGAGTAGTGTGTAGTGATAGAGTAGTGATAGAGTAGTGTGTAGTGATAGAGTAGTATGTAGTGATAAGAGTATTAGTAGTGATAAGAGTATTAGTAGTGATAAGAGTAGTGATAGAGTAGTGTGTAGTGATAGAGTAGTGTGTAGTGATAGAGTAGTGTGTAGTGATAGAGTAGTGTGTAGTGATAGAGTAGTGTGTAGTGATAGAGTAGTGATAGAGTAGTGTGTAGTGATAGAGTAGTGTGTAGTGATAGAGTAGTGATAGAGTAGTGTGTAGTGATAGAGTAGTATGTAGTGATAAGAGTATTAGTAGTGATAAGAGTATTAGTAGTGATAAGAGTAGTGTGTAGTGATAGAGTAGTGTGTAGTGATAGAGTAGTGGTAGTGTGTAGTGATAGAGTAGTGTGTAGTGATAGAGTAGTGTGTAGTGATAGAGTAGTGTGTAGTGATAGAGTAGTGATAGAGTAGTGGTAGTGATAGAGTAGTGATAGAGTAGTGTGTAGTGATAGAGTAGTATGTAGTGATAAGAGTATTAGTAGTGATAAGAGTATTAGTAGTGATAAGAGTAGTGTGTAGTGATAGAGTAGTGTGTAGTGATAGAGTAGTGATAGAGTAGTGGTAGTGATAGAGTTGTCCTATTGTTAGTGTTTAGGGGGAGAGGGGAGTAGATGTGGGACTGATGCTGCTGCATGTTAAACCTAACTGGGCTTCAGTCAGGGACGGTAGTCAGAGACAGTAGTCAGGTACAGTAGTCAGGTACAGTAGTCAGAGCCTGTAGTCAGGGCCTGTAGTCAGATACAGTAGTTGGGGATGGTAGTCAGGGACAGTAGTCAGTAGTCAGGGACAGTAGTCAGTAGTCAGGGACAGTAGTTGGAGATGGTAGTCAGGGACAGTAGTTGGAGATGGTAGTCAGGGCCAGTAGTCAGGGCTGGGAGCTATAGGGCTTCAGAAAGACACAACAACCATACATGCTACTCCCATCAGACTCATTAATAAGCTGACATTTAACTCCTTAAGGACTCACTGTATATGTCAATGCATCTACAGTATGTGCTTGGAGATGTTTTTGTTATCTGATCAGTGACTAGAATGAGCATGAAAGTGTGTGTGTGTGTGTGTTTTTTAACTGTACTGTACCTGTCCTGCAGGGTGTCAGTGGATCAGTCAGAGGAGAGGCAACAGGACAGCCCCACCGAGACTCGCACCGCATCTGTACTCAGCAGCAAGGGAACCACCAGGACCCCCAGGTGTGTGTGTGTGTGTGTGTGTGTGTGTGAGAGAGATAGAACAAGAGAGAGAGTGTATGTGTGTGTTAGAACTGAAGTACAGTCAATTAAATCAAATTTATTTTATAAAGCTCTTTTTACCAAGCGTAAAACCCCGAAGAGAAAACAATGCCGATTTAGAAGCACAGTGGAACTTAGAAAGAGAGGAACCTGGCTCTGCGGGGTGACCAGTCCTCTTCCAGCAGTATGTATCAATAGGACAGTTAAAGTGGGATAAAACATATCTTTGTCATTCTCTTTCCTTTCTCTCTCACACTCTCTTCCTGTAGTAAAGGGAGGAGTAAAGGGCGGAGGGAGGACGACAAACTGAGAGATGAGGATGAGAGTAAGCCCCAGCAGGAGGTAGCCACGGTAACAGAGAAGCCGTGGATGCTTCCGTATGATGCTACATTCCACGCCCTGGTTACCAAGGCCACCAAGACCATCCTCCCGCTGCTTGCGGAGAGTGAGCAGTACAGCGCCTTAGCCAGGTCAGAAAGACAGCACTGAAATAACCTACAAATAATCAACTGACAACCAACACACAACCTCAAATGACTAACACACAACTAAGAATGAGCTACCCACAACTAACACACAACCCCACTAACAGGCATTTTACTTCTGCTCTTTTTTTCTGAACACTTTTTTTGTTGTTGTTTTTAATTTCATTTTTTTATTTTTTTATTTTTTTTATACATATTTTAATTTTTTTAACTTTTTTGTTAAAAATAAATGCACTGTTGGTTAAGGGCTGTAAGTAAGCATTTCACTGTAATGTCTGCACCTGTTGTATTCGGCGCATGTGGCCAATAAAATTTGATTTGATTTGATTCCTTTATCATTTGTTGTGGCTGCTGCCACTTAGCCCCTATCTGCTGTGTGATTGGCTATTAGGCTGGTGAGTGAGGTGATGGGCGGGGCGGTGGAGGTGGATAGACAGCATGACTTCCTGTGGGAGCTCCACCTCAGCGAGCTGCGTTACGAACTACAGTCCAACATCATCCCCATCGGACAGATACGCAAGGGAACCTACTACCATAGGGCTCTGCTTTATAAGGTGGGTAGTGTACTATCTCTCCCCCCTCTCTCTCTCTTTATCTCTCTCCCTCTCTCTTATTCTAGTCCCTAACTCCTCTCTCTCCCCAGGTGTTGGCTGACCGAATAGGTGTGAGTTGTAGCCTGGTGAGAGGGGAGTATAACCGGGCGTGGAATGAGGTCCTCCTCTCAGTTGGGACGCCCCACTACCCAAGGTGCCAGCCCCAGCCCAGAGCTCACCTGGTAGACCTCATACAGCAGCCTGGGAGGCTGCTGAGAGCCAATACACCCCAGGCTATACAATACCAGACTATATAACCACACCTTAAAATAAACTTTACAACTACACAATACCAGACTATATAACCACACCTTCAAATAAACTTTACAACTACACAATACCAGACTATATAACCACACCTTAAAATAGACGTTATAACTACACAATACCAGACTATATAACCACACGTTAAAATAGACATTATAACTACACAATACCAGACTATATAACCACACGTTAAAATAGACGTTATAACTACACAATACCAGACTATACCCTGGGAGGCTGCTAAGGACCAACACACCACACAACCCCAAGTTATACAATACCAGCTCGTTTTTTCCCGACTTCCCAGTTGTCTTGAACTCACTGAAGTCAAGTTTTTGCAGTTCCGAGTTAACAGCTGTTTTGAGCGCGGCACAAATCATGCTTCATTGACAGCATGGCCAATGTTGAATGTTTATCATTTTAAACTTGGAAAAGAGACCCTTAATCCCAGATTTGGGACCACACAGCCACTCCATTGAATAGCAGGTTAGTGACTGCTTTGCAATGCTTGCAGTTAGCCACTGTCACTAATTCATTCCAAACCACTCATTGTTGAATTTCCGATTTCCAACTGTGTAATGTTTATGTCCAATGGCCGATGAGCACCGATAAGTTTTATCTATAATTTGTCTTCATTATTTCTCTTCATATGACAAGGATTAAAAAGGATTTGCCAGTAGGTTGTTGACTTGATTCATGATGATGACTGCTAGCTAAGATTTTGAAAGTATGATGTTGACATGATCCGTCCAATCAAAGCTACTGTAGATATAACGTGATTTGACATAATTTTATCTGTGGCCAATGACCTTGAGCCTTCTTGGATGGGCACTTCTAATGTAACTCTATGGCAGCACCCAAGGGGCTTGAATTTTCAAGCTCTACCCTTAGACTTGGCAGTGACGTACTGTCCCCACGAGTGACAGAACACGAAGCTAATCATGGCGCAACTAGAGAACATTACCAACACCTACGCTCCGTATTTTCCACTGGCTGCCCCACCACCACCACAGAAAGCACTGAGCTAGGCAGAAACACTTGCATTTTGGAGCTGCCTTACTCAAGAAAGCAAAAAAGAGACCATGTTTGTAAATGGCTTTATTAACTCAAATATTTTTTTTATATATTATTTATTGTACATTGTTTGCAAACTGATATGTGACATGTATTAATGCCAAAATAACATGCAAGACAGGCATGTGAAACCCTGACCAAGGTTGCCACAGGGTGTTTTCCCCACAGGCAGGCAGAGCCCCCGACGTTCTATCTAATACCGACTGGGACTATAACATATGGACCACCCATACACAAAAAAAATGTATGCACGCATGACTGTAAGTCGCTTTGGATAAAAGCGTCTGCTAAATGGCATATTATTATTATTATGTGGTTAGCTGATACTTAAAATACCTAGCCAGGCAAAACCTGGGCACAGGAACGCGCCCCATCATAGCAAATGATGAATGAATGGCAGAGTTTGAGAGAATCAAAACCGCAATGTATCATGGGTAAATTGTGACTTACTGATCTACAAATAATAATGAATCATTATTTATGATGCAAAGTGATTTGTAGATCAGGCACTCGCCTGCAGTCGTTTTGATGCTGTCGAACATGGCCATTGACAGATCTCTGGATGGTCGTCACTAGTTACCACATCCACAAAGTCATAAACTCCGCCTATTTCTACAATTTATCTTCTTCAAATTTGATTTGAAACCTAACCTTGACTCTAACCTTAACCACACTGCTAACCTTATGTCTAACCCTGACCTTAAATTAAGACCAAAAAGCTATTTCCCCCCCCCTGAATTTATACGATATAGACACATTTTACTTTGTGAATGTGGTAACTAGTGGAAACCCTCTTTAATGCCGTCAGTGACAAACGTGATTTTCTTAAAAAGACAGTACAATTTTCAATGTAATGCATTGCAATAGGTAAATAGTTATTGTACACAATGTAGAAACCTAATATTCCACCAATGACTTAGTATTTTCAATGGTAAATATTTGTATCAACATTTTAGCTTTTTATAATACACACATATCTTTACAGGGTTACATATTAGATTCTAGGGTACAACATGTGCTTCAAAAGTAGCTAAAATGCATATAGGCCTATTATTGGCTATATGCAATCAATTAAAAAAAATCGTATTTTCTGGTGCACCTAAACAAATGTTGTGCTCCTAATGTTTTTAAGTTGGGAGCACCAGTACCAATGAAAATGTTTAATTTAGAGCCCTGCATCTAGTTTGCGACCGGGTCTTCCCAGTCCCTTATACTGGACAGCAGGGCGGGCTAGGGGGGAGACGGTCAGGCAGGGACCAAAAGGAACTCGCTGGAGCGTTCAAAGTCCTCAATGAGCGCAGATTAGGTCACAGCAGCGCAGATGCCAACAGGCTGCACTTGACTTCGATACAGACACTTGCTGCGCGGAGGACTGGAGCGCACAGCCTCAAACTGCAGGAGAAAACATGTCTCGTTTTATCGTCCGACTTTCGCTCGTCATCGCTCAGAGGGCGGCTGCCAAGTCCGTGTTGTTGCCCAAGACCAGAGTTACTGCTTTCATCCGCCCTGTCTCCACTAGTTCAGGTATGAGCTATTATGTTAGAATCGAATTAGGCTTCATAGAATGGAATTACATAGCTTGCATCTGGATAGGCTACTTTATTGTCAGTTAATATTACGTTTATTAGATACTATTTTAATATTCATAGTCTTTCTATAATTCTAAATAAATAAACATGTGTTTTTGGTCCTGTTATCTGTCACAGGCCTCCTGTCACATTTTTCATGGGGACACATTTGCTCCAAAGAGCAGACACACATTGTGCTCAAAACTTAGTAGGAAAATGAAAAGCTTAAAGCAATTAATATAAAATAAATATATATATGACAAATAAACAAAATGCAACAAAACGCTGACCAAATTTTGCTTTTCAACGTGTGTGTGTGCGCGTGTGTGTGTGTGCGCATGTGTGTGTGTGTGTGTGTGTGCGCGTGTGCGTGTTACAGGCTTGCAATCACTGACTCGTTATAATGCGACGACCGACTGGCAGAAGACACTGACCTCTGAACAGTACGTGGTCACGAGGGAGAAGGGGACAGAGATGGTGAGTCACACACACATGAACACACACACACACATGAACACACACACGCATACGTCGCCTGTCCTCAGCATCAATGACCATAGACTGACAATTCATAAACATCAGTGGGTTCAGTGAGTAGGTTTGTATGGACTTTGTTCTTTGTTTATAGTCTTCCTCAGTGTGGAAGATAGGAGCAGTTGGTTAAAGAATGACATTCAGTATGGGCTGCATCTCAATAGTCTACAGTGGCTCCCTTTCCTCACGTTGGCACTGGTCTGAAAACACAGGCTAGGTTAAAGCAGTATGGTGGAAACCTAAAAAAAGACAAGATATAGTGTTTCTACTCTGTGTATGTGTCCTCAGCCTTTCAGCGGTCTCTATCTGAACCATAGTGAGGTGGGGATGTACCACTGTGTGTGCTGCGACACTCCCCTCTTCAGGTAACCATCTAACCCCCCTATACCTCCCTAGAACTGGTCACACTTCACACTAACCCCTAACGTCTTCATTTTGACCTCTCTGTAATCCGAACCCGAATATCAGCATTTTAGACTAGATCTCTTACTAGACCTCTCTCTCTCTCTCTCCTCTCTAGTTCAGAGGCGAAGTATGACTCGGGCACAGGCTGGCCGGCGTTCAAAGAGGCTCATGGGACGTGGGAACGCGACGAGAGCCATGCATCCATCATCCGTCGCCCTGACAACACCCTGGGTAGCGCAGAGACAGAGGTCATCTGTAAACATGTGAGTTCCATTCTGGGTAATTATGCTGAGAGTCAATCAGACCATTGTGTACTGCAGGTGTTAGTGTGTGGGGGTGTTGGTGTGTTTGTGTTCTGTCTCCTCTAGTGTGTGGTCTCTGTGTGTGTGCATCGTTACAGTGTGACGCCCATCTGGGTCATGCATTTGAGGATGGACCAGACCCCACAGGACAGAGGTTCTGCATCAACAGCGTGTCTCTCAACTTCAGGCCCAGAGAATCCAGAGAACCCAGACCCGGCGACCAGTAGAACCCCTTAGAACCGCTTAGAACAATCTTAAACCACCTAGGCCTGACCAGAACCAACCTTCAAACCCAGAGAACACAAACCCAAGGACCAGTAGAACGCAACAGACCCAATATCTAGATCCCTAACCATGACCAGAGATCTCGTCATCAGGAATACTGTTTTTATATGTCTGTATTTTTCTGTAACTGATCATAGATGAGCTTGTGACCTATATTCACCATCTTCTCAACCATAGCCACAACTACTGTACAGTATATGTTAATGGTCACATTTTGTAATGTCTGTTAAGGGGTTTTTCAATCACGTTCACTGGGTATCCAAGATTTAACTGCTTTTAACTGATAGATGGTCATTATGAGGTGACTTCACTAAAACTGCTGTAGGTCCCATGACAGCAAAGTCTGAAATTAGGAATTAATTCTAATATTGTCTCTAGAACTAAAAGGAAACCCCTGCTGTTGCTCAGCAGGACCAGGTTTGAAGACCACCGATGAATGACTGTTGTATGACCACTGTGTGACCACAACGGACCGCAGATTTAGGGTCTCATTTGTGGGCAAGTCCTGGGCACTGAACACCAGGGCTTAATGTCTGCTGTTGTGTACAGTTAGTCTGTATCTGTGATAGAACTTAAGGGGTCTACACAGTCTATGCAAACGGAGCCGACGGATGTTCATTTGTGTCGCTCTGTAAGTAGTTCTACGTACATTTGTGCAGCAGAATTTTTTGGAACACGACTGTGAGTGTGTAGACCCCTTTACTGTCACTTGAACCATTCAACATGGAGCATATTCTGTCAATAAAATGTATATATTTTTGTTTTCTTCATCTTGCCTGCTTGGACTGAGTTCTATTGTGCTCTGTTGACAAAAAAATATAGAGTCTCGTGTGTTCTAAAATGATCATAATTCACTGGATAAATCAGCCGAGATGTCAACCATAACATCCATCCATCCATCCATAGAGAGAGCAACTGCCCCCTCTCATTGAAGCCACAAAGTTCAAGGCTGACCGCAGTACTACAGGCATCGTTTGCAGAAAACAGGATCCCCCATTATAGTGAAAGGAAAAATTGTGATCTTGGTGTAAATAAATACACATTTAGAAGACAAGCAAGGTGCCAATAATTGTTTCTAATACTCCAGATGTATGTCCTTGAACCTATTATTTTAAAATCGCACACAGAAGAAGTTAAAAGGATCATTTAGTTAGTAGGTAACGGCAGCCTGCAGTACCCTGGTTGGCCTTCAACTTGAGATACTCAATGAGAGGGGGCAGCACTGAGCTTGCCTGCAACGTCACTTCCTGGTCTTCAAATGCACTATTGAGTCTTCATATAGGAATGGATGGTGTCGCATGATCGATGGCTTTGTCCATTCATATATACTGTCATTGATTGTTACACATGATATCACCATCGCCCCCTATCTGTCAGACACACACACTGCACTAACTGGTATGCGCAGCCCAACGCCAGTAAAGGGCCGTTAATTAAGCTCATCAAGAGGTCATCACCCCCTTTCTCTCTCTCTGTGTGTGTGTGTGTGTCAACATTTGTTCAGAAAGAGGCACCACAGGCCTCCTGAGTTGTGCAGCGGTCTAAGGCACTGCATCGCAGCGCTAGAGGCGTCACTACAGACCCAGGTTCGATCCCAGGCTGTGTCATAGCCGGCCGCGACCGGGAGACCCATGAGACGGCGCACAATTGGCCCAGCGTCATCCGGGTTAGGGGAGGGTTTGGCCGGCCGGGATGTCCTTGTCCCATCGCGCTCTAGCGACTCCTTGTGGCGGGCCGGGCGCATGCATGCTGACTTCGGTCCCCAGTTGTACAGTGTTTCCTCCGACACCGGTGGGGCTGGCTTCCGGGTTAAGTGAGCAGTGTGTCAAGAAGCTTGGCAGGGTCGTGTTTCGGAGTACGCATGGCTCTTGACCTTCGCCTCTCCCGAGTCTGTACAGGAGTTGCAGCAATGGGACAAGACTACCAAATGGATATCACGAAATTGGGGGTAAAAAGTAAAAAATTAAATAAATGAAAAGAGGCACCATAGAGAGAGTGAGGGTCAGACACAAGACAGAGGGATAAAGAGATTGATTGAGAGGGGTTCTGGTATTACACTAGGCATAATCATTTAGCAGTGATACATTCGATGCAGAAACTTGGCAGAACCAATCAGACTACACCAGAATGGTGAGAGAAACCCTGTGGACAGAGAGAGTGAGGAACGGACACATCACAGCAGAAAACAAAGAATAACAGAGAGGTATTGGAGTGGTTTGGGGACAGTGCTAGGATGACCGGGGTGTGGCGGTGTGTTACCATGGTGATGGTGGTGTGTGTGCCTGTGGGGGTCGGGGGAGGCGGTTGGGGGAGCAAAGAGCCAACCACGACCCCTGAGGAGACCCCACAGGAAGCCCAAGGTCAACCCCACAGACTACACCCCCACTTCAAAACATCGACATACAACAGGTAGGTACAGGAGTGTGTGTGTGTGTGTGTGTGTGTGTGTTCATGCAAACACTCATAATTTACATGACGTCACAACCACAGCACAAACACACAGTCATTAGTCAGTGGCGGACTTGCACTGACATAGTCAATGTTGAATTCCTTCTATATTGTGTGTGTGTGTGTGTGTACATGTGTTTGTTATAGATGAGAGGGACATGGTACCTGGTCAGCGCAGCTGTGGTACCTGGTCAGCGTACCTGATGACCATGAAGCCCCCCTCCTCCCCAGACACCGTTCTCTCTGTTAGCACTAACACATGCCTGTGAGTTACACTACTTTCTCTCTTTCTATCTCTTTATCTCTCTCTCTCTCTCTCTGTCTCTCTCTCTTTCTCTCTCAATTCAATTTCAATTTAAGGGGCTTAATTGGCATGGGACACATATGTTTACATTGTCAAAGCAAGTGAAATAGATAATAAACAAAAGTGAAATAAACAATTAAAACTTACAGTAAACATTACACTCACAAAAGTTCCAAAAGAATAAAGACATTTCAAGTGTCATTTTATGTCTATATACAGTGTTGTAATGATGTGCAAATAGTTAAAGTACAAAAGGGAAAATAAATAGACATAAATATAGGTTGTATTTACAATGTTGCTTGTTCTTCACTGGTTGCCTCTTTTCTTGTGGCAACAGGTCACAAATCTTGCTGCTGTGATTGCACACTGTGGTATTTCACCCAATAGATATGGGAGTTTATCAAATTTGGATTTGTTTTTTAAATTATTTGTGGGTCTGTGTAATCTAGTATGGTCATACATTTGGCAGGAAGTTAGGAAGTGCAGCTCAGTTTCCACCTCACTTTGTGGGCAGTGTGCACATAGCCTGTCTTCTCTTGAGAGCCAGGTCTGCCTTTGGCAGCCTTTCTCAATAGCAAGGCTATGCTCACTGAGTCTGTACATAGTCAAATATTTCCTTAATTTTTGGTCAGTCACAATGGTTAGGTATTCTGCCACTGTGTACTCTGTTTAGGGCCAAATAGCATTCTAGTTTGCTCTGTTTTTTGTAAATTCTTTCCAATGAATCAAGTAATTATCTTTTTGGTTTCTCATGATTTGGTTGGGTCTAATTGTGTTGCTGTCATGGGGCTCTGTGGGGTCTGTTTGTGTTTGTGAACAGAGCCCCAGGACCAGCTTGCTTAGGGGGCTCTTCTCCAGGTTAATTTCTCTGTAGGTGATGGCTTTGTTATGGAAGGTTTGGGAATCGCTTCCTTTTAGGTGGTTGTAGAATTTAACGGCTATTTTCTGGATTTGGATAATTAGCAGGTATCGGCCTAATTCTGCTCTGCATTCGTTATTTGGTGTTTTACGTTGTACACAGAGGATATTTTTGCAGAATTCTGCATGCAGTCTCAATTTGGTGTTTGTCCCATTTTGTGAATTCTTGGTTGGTGAGCGGACCCCAGACCTCACAACAATAAAGGGCAATGGGTTCTATAACTGATTGAAGTATTTTTAGCCAGATCCTAATTGGTATGTCAAATTTTATGTTCCTTTTGATGGCGTAGAAGGCCCTTCTTGCCTTGTCTCTCAGATCGTTCACAGCTTTGTGGACGTTACCTGTGGCGCTGATGTTTAGGCCGAGTGCTATCGTTTTTTGTGTGCTGTAGGGCAACGGTGTCTAGATGGAATTTGTATGTGTGGTCCTGGCAACTGGACCTTTTTTGGAACACCATTATTTTTGTCTTACTGAGATTTACTTTCAGGGCCCAGGTCTGACAGAATCTGTGCAGAGGATCTAGGTGCTGCTGTAGGCCCTCCTTGATTGGTGACAGTAGCACCAGATCATCAGCAAATTGTAGACATTTGACTTCCGATTCTAGTAGGGTGAGGCCGGGTGCTGCAGACTGTTGTAGTGCCCTCCCCAATTCGTTGATATAAATGTTGAAGAGGATGGGGGCTTAAACTGCATCTCTGTCTCACCCCCCGGCCCTGTGGAAAGAAATGTGTGTGTTTTTTGCCCATTTTTACCACACACTTATTGTTTGTGTACATGGATTTTATAATGTCGTATATTGTCCCCCCACCACCACTTTCCATCAATTTGTATAGCAGACCCTCATGCCAAATTGAGTCAAAAGCTTTTTTGAAATCAACAAAGCATGAGAAGACTTTGCCTTTGTTTTGGGGTTTTTGTTTGTCAATTAGGGTGTGCAGGGTGACTAGGTGGTCCGTCGTACGGTAATTTGGTAAAAAGCCAATTTGACATTTGCTCAGTACATTGTTTTCGCTGAGGGAATGTACGAGTCTGCTGTTAATGATAATGAAGAGGATTTTCCCAAGGTTGCTGTTGACGCATATCCCACAGTAGTTATTGGGGTCAAAGTTGTCTCCACTTTTGTGGATTGGGGTGATCACTCCTTGGTTCCAAATATTGGGGAATATGCCCGAGCTGAGGATGATGTTAAAGAATTTAAGTATAGCCAATTGGAATTTGTGGTCTCTATATTTTATCATTTCATTTAGGATACCATCAACCCCACAGGCGTTTTTGGGTTGGAGGGTTTGTGTTTTGTCTTGTAGTTCATTCAATGCAATTGGAGAATCCAGTGGGTTCTGGTAGTCTTTAATAGTTGATTCCAAGATTTGTATTTGATTATGTATATGTTTTTGCTGTTTGTTCTTTGTTATAGGGCCAAAAAGATTGGAGAAGTGGTTTATCCATACATCTCCGTTTTGGATAGATAACTCTTCGTCTTGTTGTTTGTTTAGTGTTTTACAATTTTCCCAGAAGTGGTTAGTGTCTATGGATTCTTTTTCCGTGGTGTATTTCTGTATTGTTTTAGGGATTCACCATAGTGAAGGCGTAGGCTCAGGTTTTCTGGGTCTCTATGTTTTTGGTTGGATAGGTTTCTCAATTTCCTTCTTAGGTTCTTGCATTCTTCATCAAACCATTTGTCATTGTTGTTAATTTTATTAGGTTGTCTGCTTAACATTTTTAGATTTGAATGGGAAGCTGAGAGGTCGAATATACTGTTTAGGTTTTCTACTGCCAAGTTTACACCTTCACTTTTACAGTGAAACATTTTGTCCAGGAAATTGTCTAGAAGGGATTGAATTTGTTGTTGCCTAATCGTTTTTTGGTAGATTTCCACACTACTTTCCTTCCATCTATACCATTTCTTAATATTATTCAGTTGGCTTTGATGCCTCATGGTTGGGCATAGCTCTGTTCAAGTAGACTGTGATTTTGCTGTGATCTGATAGGGGTGTCAGTGGACTGACTGAACGCTCTAAGAGACTCTGGGTTGAGGTCAGTGATAAAGTAGTCTACAGTACTACTGCCAAGACATGAGCTACAGTTGAAGTCGGAAGTTTACATACACCTTACCCAAATACATTTAAACTCAGTTTTTCACAATTCCTGACATTTAATCCTAGTAAAAATTCCATGTCTTAGGTCAGTTAGGATCACAACTTTATTTTAAGAATGTGAAATGTCAGAATAAT